GAGTAAAGACTTATGAGTTCTGGTGCATTTGTGCGTGCGGGGGTCATTATGTTACCGCTATGCGGTGTCTAGTTTTAATTTGAAGCCTTATCAACACAGACTGGCTTCATTCACTTTCTCCACTGCCGTATGCTAACTAGCAGACACTGCGCAGAAAATTGACGTAGTTCAAAACTCCGCCTTCTGATCGCTGATTGGCCCAGGTAAAATAAACCACAAGCAGACACAATCGACGTTCTGTTCTCTGATTGGCCCGCACGAAATGCTCCTGAAGAAATCCTTGCCTATGGGAGAAGTCCCAGATGGAGCTGTGAAGTGAGTTGAGCAGAACTGTGTAGGAAGGCAAGGGCCAGGCTAATGTTGTACACAAAGTGGGCCGTTATTTAAATGTTAGATGTTGAGTCGTTTTATTGTGGGCACAGTTGCTTCAGTTATTTTATCTATCTTATTGTGAAATTCTTGTGATTTCTTTTTGTAAATTAGTGACTCAAAGAGCTTAACTTGTAGCTAACCCCTGTTTCTGATAGCATTTAGGCTACATGCTAACGCTAGCTTCTTTTTAAAAAAGCCGAATGCAGATTTAATCATAATTCCCACTTCTTCTACCCTCTCAGCCTCCACACAGCAGCCCTCGAAGCGACTGCGGAGCCGCAACGTGCACTTTGAGAGCGTGACGGTATACTACTTTTCCCGGCGGCAGGGCTTCACCACCGTGCCCACGCAGGGGGGCAGCACCCTGGGGATGTCGCCACGTCACAGTGGTGTGAGGCGCTTCACTCTCAGAGAGTTCGCCATGGAGCAGAAACGAAGTCATCGGAACATGCTGAGGGATCATCTCAAAGAGGAGAAACTCAACGCCATAAAACTCAAAGTCAGTGGAAAGACAAAAGCTAATGTTCTCTGCAGTGTTTTTGTCTAAATGAAAGTATTTTTGGTAGTTTTACTTCTTCCATTTTTATTTTTTCTAGCTGACGAAAAACGGGACCGCGTCATCGATAGAGGCGGACGGTCTCACCCTCGACGACATCTCAGAGGATGACTTGGACGTGGACAACACGGAGGTGGACGATTACTTCTTCCTTCAGCCTCTGACCACCAGGAGGCGCCGTGCACTCCTTCGTGCCTCGGGGGTCCGGCGCATTGACGTGGAGGAGAAGCACGAGCTGCGTGCCCTGCGCATGTCCAGAGAGGAGTGTGGGTGTCGCTGCAGGGGGACATGTGACCCAGAGACCTGTGCTTGCAGCCTGGCCGGCATTAAGTGCCAGGTAAATGGAGCTGTGGTGAGGCCCAACTATAATACTACAGTGTTGTTCATGTCTGTCTGTGTAGTAGAAACTAAAATTTACTATCTTTGTCAAAGGACGTTAGCATAGTTTAGCTCATTAATCGTGTCAAACAATCAGAAACTTTGTGTACATGCGCAGCTCAGACCCAGGTGAAATGGGAAGACTGCCCACTGCTGCAATGCTTCCAAGTCAGCAGTGATGGTAGTCATAGGGCTGAGTTGGCGTGTAGTTTAGGATGCAGCGCTTCACACAACCATACCACTGCTACTCCACTAGTTCCACAATGCCAGCTTCGTGTGTTTAAAGAATCATCAGCTTGTGAACAACCAAACACAGATAAAATGGAGGATTACCTCTATGGACATGTTKAACAGGCACTGGTCAAGTTTTATGACTATTTAATTGATACAAGTGAGGAAATATCTCCTTTCCTGGTTGAAGTTTGTGGTTTAAGATGTGATGATTCCATAAATTTGTTCCTAAAAACCATTGGTGGGCAAAGCGAACCAAAAAGTAGGTTTGCTAACTGAATAAACAGCAAACTAAAWGCATAGCTTTATTAAAGCTAAACTACTAAACATGGATTCAAACATTCATTTAGTTCTGCTATTAGCYGTTTGATGATTAGCATGCCCACCACTGCTAAAACCAATGCATTTGGCTCTTCTTCTGCCCCAAACAACTCTGTCCATATGTGAGATATCTTTAATTCAGATGTCCTCAATGTTTTGTACCTTTTTCTCAGCAGATTTTACTTTCCAGGTTAATCCTGTAAAATTGACATGCTAGTGCAGGGTTGTCAAACTCAGGTCCTCGAAGGCCACTTTCCTATGTTTACCTTGTTTCTCTGCTCAAACACACCTGATTCAATTACTTCTTCAAATTCTGTAGAAGAAGCCTGTTAATCATCCATTCATGCAAATCAGGTGTGTTTGAGCAGGGAAACAAGAAAACATGCTGGACAGTGGCGTTTGAGGACCAGAGTTGGACACCTGTGCACTAGAGGGATCCCAGCAGTGCTGCGTTAGGGTTCCACTAATCAGCTAATAGTGAGCCCAACTTTTCATCAGGTGGATTAGATTTTTCACTAACTTTGAAAACTGTTAGAGGTCTAATTAGCTTCCACTAAATGGGATTTTGCCAACTACAAGTCTGCGAACAGCTAACTAACAAGCTAACATSAACAGGTTTATGTCAGTCCAACCAGTCAWCTGGAAGTAGATGAAGACATGACGCAGACTGGCTGACAGTCAGCTTAGCAGTTAGTCATTAGCTGTTTGCGTTAGCTGATACAATTTTTTACATGTTTAGCTGTTTAGCACTAGCTTCTGCCTTTTTTTTTTTTTTTTACAATTAGCAGTTATGTGTTTAGTTAGCAGATTATGAGTTAGCAAAACTAAGCCCACCAAGGCTAAGGCTGTGGTCAATTTTCTGACATAAATGTGAACACAAGAAGTTGATTGGCTTTTGTGGCCTTCATTATAAAAATGAAAAGAAAAATGGAATCCTAAAGGAAATGAGAAATAGAGGAATAACAAAACTAAATGCTACAGTGGACTGTGGGTCCAGCAGAGATCATTCTTATTGTGAACTCTCACAAGTATAATGATCTTTGTGTTTACACAAATTTGCCAAAGTGCTTTTGACATCTGTATTGACAACAGTTTCTTTCAAAAAACTAAATAAACTTACGATAGAAAAGTGTCTACAATTCAGCTTATCGACAAATGTATCTTATGGCGAAGTAACACAGCTAAACCACTGCACTGTGGTTAAAACCAATGGAGCGGCTACAACACTTACATATAGGTGTTGAGCTGATGTAGTTACATGACTAGTGTTTTAAAACTAGCCTGATTGGAGGTCCCCATTTACCTACCTACCAACCAAAACTAGCCTTGCTAACATTAGCTGTAGCGTTTTAACAAAAGTCCTTGTGACTGTTGGTAAATATAAGTTGTGGCTCTTAAAAAGGCAATATTATGTGTTTTTCAGACACACATTTAAATACTATACCATAATAAAGTATCTATGCCACCTTTAGCTGTTATTAAATGCT